AGCCCCGCGTCGGGCTCTGGGCTGACAGCTCAGAGCCTGGAGCCTGTTTCAGATTCTGTGTCTCCCTCTCTCTGACCCTCCCCCATTCATGCTCTGTCTCTCTCTGTCTCAAAAATGAATAAATGTTTAAAAAAAAAAAAAAGTTCTCATCACAAGAAAAAAAAATTTTTTATAACCATGTATGGTGATGGATTTTACCTAAAACTATTGTGGTAATCATTTCACAATACACAAATATCAAATCATTATGTTGTGCACCTGAAATTAATATAATGTTATGGCAATTATATGTCAATAAAAAATAAATTAAAAAGTAAAATAAAAACAGACCAAGAGTACTTTGATAGAACATTAGAAATATCAAAAGAAGACACATGATTAATTGCCAAAGGCATGGTAAAATGATATGTAGCTAATAAGAGCTCAGAAGAGAAAGAGAGGATTCTTGGAAAATGCAGTGTAAAATAAAACAGGTAAAAATATTTATTTCCAAAGAAATTACATAAATCTGCTTTAGTGATTCTTTATGTATACCTGCATTATCAATTTGCATTAAATTTTTCTTTTAAAAAAAAGTTTTACAGAATACAAGTAATTCAAGTAACACAGTAGGCTCAGCATTCTCCAAAAATACAAAAAGAATCATGTCTAGCTCCAAAAATCACCTCTATCTACAAATTAGCCACAATTGCATATGCTGACATAAGCATATTGCAATACCAAATACTGAAAATTCTGCAAGAATTAAAATGTTATGGGTACACGGGAACAAGATAATCCAAACAAACTTGACATTTTTAAAAATCATTATCCACAACATTTTAAAAAACCCAAAGTATCTATGCCAAAGAAAAAAGAAATTCCACAGAAGACCAATAAATGGATAATCCAGCATCATACCTTAGGAAAAAATATGTTGGCAGAATTATTCATATAAGAACTTATTTTTGGATACCTAGCCAGATTTTAATGCCATATTTAAAATGAAAAATATCTAGTCATAGAAAAGTATCATATTGAGACAGGGAAACTCAAAGGGCCCATGAAAAACTGCTTTACTCACTCTTTACTTTTTTCTCTTTTTTTCTGCTTCTACTCTTGCTAGGACCTATGCCCCACCCCCCTACACACACCTCATAGAACACATAATGTATGTCTTCCTTGCAAAGGTCAAGGATTTAATGATTTCTTTGGAGACTTTGAGCACAATAGATAACACTGAAGGAGTGACCAGGCAGGGTCATCACGAATGTTTTCCATGACCACTGACTCAAGACCCCTGGCTGCAGGGCACAAGTGACTTATGGAGAATACCTAAATACTCTTCATTCTTGGATTACTGACAAGATCTGGGCACCAGACCACCATCCTCAATAAAAACTCCAGGCCCCAAGCAAAGACGAGGTTCACTCTTCCTTCCTTTCTCAGTCTCCCAGACACTCTGTCCATATCTACACACTCTCCATACCTTAAAAAACTCTGCTTTTACTTCCTCTTGGAAAGTTTGATTTTTATCTGGCAGGAAGCCAAGAACCCTCCTGGCTGGTCCTACGGGACCTCCCTCTGGGTCCTTGGACCCAGCCAGCCTGCATCAATATCGTTAAGATATATTAGAAAGTATGAGATCAAAGATATACCTGTTTGCAATTGTATTAAGCTCAGTACTTATACTATTATCTCTTAACGTTCACTTATTATGTTCCTAATTGCTACCCCCAATTATACAAAGTAAATATAACAAGAGGAATCCTCCTGTTCATTTTCTGAATGTCTTACAATACTTGCTGTTGCAGTAAGAAAGATTAAATAGACATTTGTCAATTTTGGCTTTAAAAAATAATCTATATGCTAAATGAGGCCTGAAAGATCCATTATTATTCAAACACAATAACAGTTTCCTGTCCAATTAAATACAATGTCTAAATATATCCCACATAACACATTTTCAAACAGGTTCCTTTCTTTACAGTCCTAAGAGAAGCCAGGAGAATGATTCCATTAAAGAACTTCAAAATCATCAAAAGTTTAGCAAGATCTACACATTAAAATTAACATGAAAGGAAACTGCCATAAAGCAACCATATATAAATATGATTATATATATATATTTATTTATATATATATATAGATCATATATAAATATCATATATAAATAGTTTTAGGAACTTTACTTTCTGTTAGTAAAGCATTCCTTTACCTAAATTTCAAATACTGTACATAAGTTGGAAGAATAATAAGATGACTATCTCCACCAAGATTCAACATTTGTGAGCATTTTGTTACAAATGCTCTGCTACCTCCTGCCCCATCTCTTCCTCTTCCCCTTCCTTCAATCTATCAGTTTATTTATTTCTGGCAAGCACCCTATAATCAATATATTAATACTTCTAAAGAAAAACAGGTAACACTAAGTCAGATAAATACTATAAATACCCTTATATAAATTCAGTTCCACTTCCCACCAAATGGGTTCAGACACATCAGGTTTTATCCCAAATTTAAATTTTTTAAATGTAGATAAAGGATGGTGGGCTGCAGCTTAATCCCCATGTCACAGAGGCGGAAACTAAGACACACAAAGGATAAATAATGTATTCAAGACGAAAACAAGTAGCAAAACCAAGTACGAAAATATAGGCAATCTACTCCAGAGCCCACTTCTAACCACTGCTCTAGGAAGCCTCCAATCCAACAGGAAACCCTCATGACTTTCTTGATCTATGCAGAATAATTCCATCACCCCTAACTGTAATGCTGGCCTAATCTGGACACCATCCTCTCTCACTGGGTTTATAATAGCCTGCTACCCAGGCCATCTGGTTCTTCTATCCATTCGACAACTAGTAAAAGCTAATGTTCTTTAGCCTCCAAGAAACTACAGGTTCTGTGCTCTCTCATTTATGTTATACCAGTGACTTCACCTACCAGTCTCCTCTCTCTCACATCACCAGCGCACCGGCCTCTATGCTACTCCTTGTCCCCAGGCATGTTCCCACGTAGGGCCTGGCACACGTTTCCTTTTATATCTACATGACTGCCCCCCTCACTACTATGGTATCATTTTCCAATGAGGCCCAACACTGTCCACTTTATTTAAAGGTGCAACTACCCCCCCACTGAGCGATGGACGCTCCAAATGCCCTTTTCCTTCCCTAGTTTGTCTAATATTTATTACCTTCCAACATCCTAGACAGTTCACTTATTTTTTATCTCCCTATCTTTTCTGCTCTTAGATTTATAGGTGTACCAATGTATGCTCCGCCCTTAGAAAATCATCTAATGTATACTAAATGCACAAAAAGTAATCGTTGCTATTGGGACTTCTATGTCAACTTCAACCCAAATCCTTTGAGTTATGCTCCTCTACATCTCTTATAGTTAGCATTTCTCAGTATATCCCAAACAGTTACAATTTCAAAAAATATGCTTAAATTACATTTTAAAACAGCCGAATGTTACACACTCATGCTTTTATGAAGACTATTTTTAGAAACACACTTTATAGACATGGAGAGATGTTCATGTCATTGAGAGAAGACAGATAAGGAAGAGCTTATATAGTATGATCTTTGTGTAAGGAAAACAGTATATATTTGTGTGAATTTAAAGGTTTTCTGTTATAATGACATTAGATATTTCCAAAGCATTTCTCCCTTCTGCATATTTGTATTTTCTCATTTTTTCAATAATGAAGATATATTGTTTGTATGATTAAAAAATAAATATACTTCTATACCCCCCAAAATTATTCTTCACAATACAATTACCAGCTAAATTCTAACTCTTGCTCTATTAATAAGATATGTATCCACTGTTAATACAGCTGTTTTATAAATGCAATATAGATATATGCTATTAATGTAACTTAAGAGACCATCTACAGATATTTATCTAATTATTTTCTTTATACAAGGGATGATGGGGTCAATTCTTTTCTTTATACAAAGAATAACATGACACAAGTGTGTTAAATATTACCAATATTATCTATGGGAAATCCACATATTCAATCTAAGTTTCAGATATTACCTTTGGAATACTCCTTTCAATGGCAGTTCTTTTTTTTTTTTAATTTTTTTTTCTAACGTTTTTTATTTATTTTTGAGACAGAGAGAGACAGAGCATGAACGGGGGAGGGGCAGAGAGAGAGGGAGACATAGAATCGGAAGCAGGCTCCAGGCTCTGAGCCATCAGCCCAGAGCCCGACGCGGGGCTCGAACTCACAGACCACGAGATCGTGACCTGAGCTGAAGTCGGACGCTTAACCGACTGAGCCACCCAGGTGCCCCATTGGCAGTTCTTTTAATAAGCTTTTTTACTTGTGGTATAAACTTACAAACATTTTTTATCTTTAAATTCAGAACTATAAGTTCTGAAGCATAAATATATTCAACTTGAGCTTTTGATTTTGCTGCTGTTAAAAGTACTATTTATTATTTATTTCAAATGCGTCCTGCTTCAAAGTATTTAAAGTAATATAACTAATAAAATAAAGCTCTGGATTTAGAAAAATTATATTCTATATTTTACACAACTTTAAAGGTGACTAATATTTCACTTAAGGAAAATCAACAAAAGAGCTAATTTATTTTTTTTAAAGAGCTACTTTAATGCCAACTCTTAATTTAGAAAATATATTAATTTTCAGAAAAATTTGGAATCCTTGTTTTAACTTCTAATATGTATAGAAAATAGTGTTAATTAACATTTCAAAGTCAAGCTTAATTATGGTCAATTACTTTCTTCCCAAATAAAAAACAAGTTCATTTATTGTCTATAAAAGGAAACCTAAATTGGCTTATAATGCTTTCCCATGATCTTAAATCTAGAAAAATAATACTATATTTTTTAATGTTTACACATATTTATATCTGAAGTTCTTTTAAATGAAATTTGATTTCAATTTTTCCAAAATTAACTTCCATTCAATAATTTCTTAATTATAAAAACTTTACAAAAAAATAAAGACTCAAGTGTTTTTAAAATGAAAGTTTACATACCTTGGCTTCCGAAATGCTAAACTATATTGCTGGCAAGCCAGACCCACAGTGGGGGTATAGACAATAGGCATGAATTTCTCAATGTCAGACATTAGCACTCTGTAAAAGAGTTTTTCATTTCTATCTTGAAGATCCATTAAGAGAAGATACCTGTGGAAATTGGACATAATGAGATCTATATTCCAACAAATCATGAAATAGCTGCTTAGATTTTTAACCATTTTTCAACAAAGTATTAAGTACTTTTTAGGTCATAAAGAAAACATCTGATCAAAAAGGACTTTAGAAATATTCTTAAACACCTCAAAGAATGAAGAACCATGAACCTGAGTGAGGTTTATTCAAACATTAAAATCATTGCTGAAACAGCAGGTTTATTTAATACCTGGAAAGATTTTATCCCTATTTTAAAATGAAAATGCCACTATAGGTAGAATTTAAATATTAAGTAAATAGACTTCATCTTTTAACTTGTAGTACTGAATAACCAAGGGAAATGAAAAGTAGACAATAAGGAATAAGCAGTGACTCTAAAAATTACTAAGGTAGGCAAGTTCAAGAGACTTTTCTTATCATTTTATCAAATGTCCTTTTTCTTTCTAGAGGCATTTCTAACCCAGAGTTACCTTTCTAAACACCAACCTTATTATGTTACCTGTAACCTTCGAGAATTCATAGAATAACACCAAACCGCTGAGTACAACTTAAAATAGTCTTGCAAAATTGCACTTAACAGTCTTACCATACTTTTTAGGTTCATTTTCATTCACCAGAAGACTTGAAAATGCACAAAATTTGGAGCCAGAGATACAAGGATTCTAATGTTTGGCAAACAGATGGGTTACACCAACCCCTGTAACATTTGCAGATGATGACTTTCAGCCAAGCTAAAACTGATTTAGTTATGTGGAAATCATCACTGCTGAATCAGTGATCAATTCTCAGACCTCATTTTATTTTATCCATCAAAATATTTGACACAGGTGTCTTTCCTTAGAGCTCAATATACTCTTTTTACTTGACTTCTGGGCCATCATACTGTTCTTGGTTTTCTTCCTGTCTTACGGGTTATTCCTTTCCTGTTTCGTTGCTGCTTCCTCCTCTTCTCTGAAAGCTAACACTCATCTCTGATATATTAGGAAATTAAGTTGGCTTTACCCTTAATATATTCCTAAAATCTACACACCTTCATTGCTACCATCCTGGGTCTAATCTCTTGTATTAATAATTATTATTATTGTAATAGTCTCCTAAATATTCTTCCAGTCTACATTCTATTCACAACGTTGCAGACAATCTTCTTGAAAAATAGATCAGGTCTTGTTGATCTACTTAAAACCTTGAATGGCTCCCCATTTCACTCAGAATAACACCAAAGTCCTATAGTGGCCTTCAAAGCCATTCGGAAACTGTCCTCCATTACCTTGCTAACTTCCCCTCCCAATCTACCATATTCCCCAAGCTCATTCTGATCCAGACATAAGTCTCCCTGCTGATCCTGGAACATACCAGGTGAAGAACACTGTTTCCCAGATTTCCTCATGGCTAATCACCTCACTGCCTTTGATTATTCACTCATAAGTCATCTTCTCAATGAAGTCTATGCTGATCAATATGACAATATAATAATGCAAACTAACCATACCATCCCTCAATATTCTCAGCCCCTCTTATCCTATTTTTTTCCATTAGCACCTGTCAATTTCTAGCATACTAATTTATTATTTTACTATTTAGTATTTAATAATTTTTAAAAATAATTTACCTAAGTTCCATGAGGGCAGAGATCATTGTCTATAATCCTAATGTCTGAAAGAGCACCTGACACTGAGCCGATGTTCAATAAATACTTGAGGAACAGTCTATGGTAAAAACATGAACGTGACTAGCTCTTACACGGTAGAGGTAAATGGCCCAGGAAAAGAATGTAAAGTAAAAACATTTGAGTCTGAAGGAAAGACTAACAGAACAAATGAAAGAGATTGTAAAGGAGTTCAAGAAACAGCAAACATACACATTAGGCAAATGGATCAGCTTCCTTCCTCAGCTGCCCCTGGGAAGCTCATGGGCTCATGAAAAGTAGCCATGGCAGTGATAGAGGTTATCCATGGGCTCAGCAACATGAACTTCCACTCACCAGACCAATCTAACTACAGACACTGCTGAGTACCCCATGCACCAGCAGAAGAGACCAATGCTGGGCACCTGATATGGCACCGTTCCAAGGGATGACCAACAAGCTACATGGCAGCAAGCTGATTACACTGGACTGCTTCCATCATGGAAGGGTGGTGCTTTTTTTTCTTTTAACTGGAATAGGCACTTACTATGGATACAAATTTGCCTTCTCTGCACAGAATACCTCTGGCTAAACTACAATCCACAGATTTATAGAATGCTTTAAACACCACTATGGTATTCCACACAATATTTCTTTTAATCAAGGAACTTACTTCAAATGAGAGCAAATGAAATGTGGCAATGGGCCCATGTTCTTGGAATTCACTAGTCTTACCATGTTTCCCACCATCCTGAAGCAGCTGGCTTGACAGAATGATAGAATGGCCTTCTGGTGACTCAGTTACAGTACGAGGTAGGTGGCAACACCTTGCAAAGCTGGGGCAAGGTTCTCCAGAATGCTAGCTATACTCTGAATCAGTGTCCAATATATGGTGCTATTTCTCCTATAGCCAGGATTCACAGGTCAACGAACCAAAGGATGGAAATAAAAGTGGCACCACTATGACCCCTCCCACCCCCCCCCCCCCCCCATTCCGGTGACTAACAAAATTTCTGCTTCCTGTCCCTGTGAACTTACGCTCTGCCGGCCTAGAAGTCTTAGTTCCAAAGGGAGGAATGTTTCTACCAGGAGACAATGATTTCACTGAACTGGAAGTTAAAACCACTGCTAGCCACTCTGGGCACCATATGCCTCTGAATCAACAAGCAAAGGAAAGAATTACTTTTCTTTTGGGGTGGGTTGGGATGGGGTGATTGATCCTGACTACCAAAGGGAAATTGGACTGCTACTTCATTATTATTATTATTAATCTCTTCAACCCCACGGCAGAAAGGAATCCTGCCAAAGACTGCCTTTGGATTCGAACTGCAACTCTCCCCTTGGTTTCCAGCCTGCCAGTCAGCCTACAGATTTAGGACTTACCTCGGCTCCATAATCATGTGAGCCAATTCCTTAAAATCAATCAATCAATCAATCAATCAATCAATCAATCTATATAGAACCAGCAGGTTATGTATGTTGTATATATGTTAGTACTTTTTCTCTGGAGAACCCTAATACGAATACTTACTAGGTACTGGTCTGCTACCTCTTCTAACCTTTGCAGCAATATTTTCAAAGAACTGTCACTTCTTTTAATCCACAAATGAAAAACCTGAGGTTTGGAGGGTTTCAGCACCTTATTAAGAAAGGGCCAGGTCAAAAGCACAGGGCCAGGCATGTACAGTGGTCATGGCAGTGGCTGCAGCAATTTGCTCAAGGCCCCACTGCTCATGAAATACAGCCAGAATTCCAACCAAGGGCTGTCTAATTCCAAAGGTAGGGAAAACATTACTTTTACCTTTGTGCAGACACAGAAACTGAATTCTAAAAGTAAGTGACCCAAATCTGCAGTAGTGTTAGAACCAAGCTTGGAAGTTGAAAAAGTATGCTTTTATCTACAATGAACTTAAAGTCTGACTAAAAGCCACTATGACCTGTTTTGCTCTGTCTAGAATGGCATTTCCTGGGGTGCCTGGGTGGCTCAGTCAATGAAACATCCGATTCAGCTCAGGTCATGATCTCACGGTTCATGAGTTTGAGCCCCCTGTTGGGCTCTGTGCTGACAGCTCACAGCCTGCTTCAGATATTCTGTCCCCTCTCTCTCTGCCCCTCCCCTGCTCACACTCTATCTCAAAATAAAAAATACATATATTTTAGAATAGCATTTCCTGATAATTCACCTTTATAGCAACCATTTGATCACAAGAGAAAAGTGGTCTCTCTGAGGATATAGTTTAGAAAAGAAAAATTTATATTATTCAAATGCTGCTACTGAAGGTAATTTTTTTTAAAAACATCATTGTATTTCTAGGCAAATTCTTCTCAAACTTGACTACTCTGTCCAAATCACTAAATATTTTAACTTCCTCATCCAATAAAAAAAATAGACAACTGCCTAAGAGAAACATAAAAATCATCTTCAGGAATATGTTACCTGTCAAAGTCAGAGGTCAGACGCTCAAAATTTTTAATTACTCTAAGAACCTGGATATCCTGACTGATGAAGCAAGGTGGCAACAATCCATGAATATTCAATTGTTGTCTCTCTTCCAGGGTAAAAGCCAAGTCCTATGGAGGAAAAAAACAAACAAACAGTAATTTAAAGGGAATAATAACCAAAAACTATAGATGTACACACACTTAAAATCCAACAAATATATGGAATTAAAAATCAGAACATCTGGTATTGCCTAAACAAGGCCATCCAACTGTGTAATCTCTCAATACCTCAGTTTCCTCACCTTTATATATTAGAGTACTATAATATTTTCAGGTCTGTGTCATTCATATTTGAGGTTTGAAATTAGGTAATGGAGAAAATGATGTGAAGATATGCAAATGAAAGACATAAATATTATTACTGTCATTAAATATATAAATGAATAGGAGTTACAAGAGATTTTTGAATTATGAACATTTTAAAATTATGAACCACCTATGACCTGCTGTTCCTCAACCTATAAAATAGATCAGGAAATGCCTTATATATAATTGACACACCCAACACTGCTCCCCCAAACTATCTCTTACTGTTCTTATTACATTTCTAGCTACACAAACTTTCTCACCATTGCCTAAACATACCACACCCTTTTATTCTTTCATGACACCATGGACAAAAATTTTTCTCTGCTTCTCTGTCCTTCAAACCTGACCTTAAATGCTCCCTCCTCTCTAATGCCTCTCTAAAGCCTCTCCAGACTCAGCCAGTATGTCCATTAGAACCCTATTATTTAATACTATGTTATCTGTTTACATGAACACTGACTGTAAAAAACATGAAGCTCAAAAGTAAGTAACAAAATATAACTGAAGGGCTGATACAAAAACCCAGAATGGACTGAAGAGATTTTCTGGAATATAATAAGAGGGGAAGTAGTAGCAGAGAAACCCCAGTAGTCATTAATCTGGAAGAATGGGATGAGCCATTCCCCTGGAGATGACTCCTCCTGGGGCTACCGAAGCCCAAAACACTTCTTTGACTAGACTGACAACTGTTTCTCTGGGTCTGGCAAAAGTGCACCAAAATGATGATGGTTGGGTTCACTCATTATGACCATTACTGATGCTTCTTAAGACAGCTTGGATGGGTAGACATGTGTCCACTGACTTTGTAATGGGTGATTCTACAGCCATCCTCCTCTGCCCCTGAAAGTTTCTTGCAATGGTAGAACAGTGATTCCTAAGTCTTTAGAAGGTTTATTGCTCAGGGGAAAAGACAATTTGGTTCACCCCAGAGGTAGATGACAGACCCTGACTGTTGAGAAATGAACACACTGAACCTCAGAAAGTAGGTGAAGGAGGTCAACAGATGAGCAACTCTTTCTTTCTTCTTATTTTTTATATTAATAGGCCCATTTATTCATGTCACTGATGAAAAAGCCTTATGTTTAATTAAACTTCTGGGTCAGGGAACAGACTGAAGAAAGTCAAATAGATTAGTCCACTGAATGACACATAGTGGAGCACTCTAAGTTGCCTACAAGGGCTAGCTGGGAGTGACGGCTCCAGAACCTCCAGAATGAGAAGCTGTATACAATCTTGACTTCTCAGCAGAAGGTCTCCCAAGTGCTATCAGCACAGGTGGTGTCCAGTTTCCAGATATTTTTCTCCACTAGCAGCCACTCTTATGACTGCAAATGCCCCATTGTTACAAGTTCAGTTGGGGGTCCTCTGGAGCTGTTCTGTTCCCCAGGAGCTCGATGGGCCCTTTCCTAATGATAATCCATAGTGTTCAGCTGTGGCTGGCCCAACCACTCTCTCCTGGATGCCAGAGAACAGCAGAGAGTGCAGCCTGTCAGTCCTTTGCCTAGGAGTTCCAGTAGGCACCAGGAGACACTCGTGGTATTGCTAGAACCTTCTGCATGCCATTTGCTTTTTTATCAGTGGTTTGTGTCTCCAACCACAATGCAAAACCATGAGGTCAGGATTTTGTCTGGGTTTTTTTTTCTTTTCCACTGCTCCATTTTTAGTGCTTAGAAAAGTACCTAGAACTAACACATGAATTAGCAAGGTCCGAGGATATAAAATCAATGAGCAGAAATCTGTTGCACTTCTATATACCAATAACAAAGCAACAGAGAAAGAAATCAAAGAATTGATCCCATTTCCAACTGCACCAAAAACAGTAAGATATCTAGGAATAAACCTAACCAAAGAGTAAAAGATCTGTACTCTGAAAACCATACAAGACTTATGAAAGAAACTGAAGAAGACGCAAAGAAATGGAAAAGCATTCCATGCTCATGGATTGGCAGAACAAATATTGTTAAAATGTCCATACTACCAAAGGAATCTACACATTTAATGCAATCCCTATCAAAATACTACCAGCAGGGTGCCTCAGTGACTCAGTTGGTTGAGCGTCTGACTTCGGCTCGGGTCACGATCTCATGGTTCGTGGGTTTGAGCCCCACATAGGGCTCTGTGCTGACAGCTCATAGCCTGGAGCCTGCTTCAGATTCTGTGTCTCCCTCTGTCTCTGCCCCTTTCCTGCTTGTGCTCTGTTTCTCTCTCTCAAAATTAAACAAAAAAATAAAAATAAAAATAAATACCACTAGCATTTTTCACAGAGCTAGAACATGCAAGCCTAAAATTTGTATAGAACCACAAAAGACCCCAAATAGCCAAAGCAATCCTGAAAAAGGAAAGTGAAACTGGAGGCATCACAATTCCGGATTTCAAGATATATTACAAAGTTGTAGTCATCAAAACAGTATGGAACTGACACAAAAACAGACACATACATCAATGAAATGAAACAGAAAACTCAGAAATGGACCCACAAATATATGGTCAACTAATCTTTGACAAAGCAGGAAAGAATATCCAATGGAAAAAAGTCTCTTCAACAAATGATGTTGAGAAAACTGGACGGTGACATGCCAAAGAATGAAACTAGACCACTGCTTACACCATACACAAAAATACACTCAAAATGGATGAAAGATTAAGTGTGAAATAGAAAACCATCAAAATCCTAGAGGAGAACACAGGTAGCAAACTCTTTGACCTCAACCAGAGAAAATCTTACTAGACAAGGGAAGTGAAACAAAAGCAAACATGAACTCAATTGGGACTTCATCAAGATAAAAAGCTTCTGCACAGCAAAGGAAACAATCAACAAAACTAAAAGGCAGCCTACAGAATGGGAGAAGATATTTGCAAATGATATATCTGATAAAGGGTTAGTGTAAAGAACATATCAAACTCAACACCCCAAAATCAAACAGCCCTGTTAAGAAATGGGCATAAAACATGGATACATTTCCAAAGAAGACATCCAGATGGCTAAAAGACACATGAAAAGATGCTCAACATCACTCATTATCAGGGAAATACAAATCAAAACCACAACGGGATAACCACCTCACATCTGTCCAAATGGCTAAAATTAACAACACAAGAAACAAGAGGTGTTGGCGAGGATGTGGAGAAAGGGGAAC